TTACCTGCTGGAAAATGTTGTCCTTTGCACTTTTGAGAATTTGTGATTTTCAAGATAATTTTGTGACACTTCCCTGTGTTATAAATTTATAACTAACATTATAATTCATGAATTATGAAATCCCCTAAAAACAAACTTTATCTAGTGTATTTTAAGTTGAAAATTTCCAACTTTTGTTGACTAACTTAGGAAATAAATATGAGTTTAAATGCTATATTACTCTGTTTGGGTCCTGAATGTTTATGTGAACTCATATGGTACTGCAGAGACATGTAATGCATCTCGGTTAAAGGAAAGAGGGATTAATTAGCACTAGAATTCTTGTCTATAATTTATAAGAATCATTATAGTTTTGGCAGCAGAAGATGGTTTTCTTCTCTGTTCCTTTCCTTTCATGTTTGGATCAAACCCAGTGCCTCAAGCATGCTGATTATGTGCTGTTCCACTGAGCTATATCCAGCAGAGGATGGCCCCTGCAGAGAGAAGGGAGCGATCACCAAATCGTCTTAGCCCATACTTCTTTTTTGTTTTTGGTCAGTCTTCATATGTGATGGTAGATAGTTTAGACTTTGTTCATAGTGCTCTACTCCGCCGTGGCCACCGGTAGAGGCTAGTTCGTCGGGGGCAAACAGTGAATGAGGACTGGATCTCCTGTAGCCAGGACCCATCTTTCCCTTCTTTCCCAGATACTCAAGGTGATAAAGCTAATGGCTAGGATGACAAGCAGTTAAGGGCATTTGTTGCTTTCAGAGGATCCAGGTTTGGTTCCCAGTACTCTCAGCTCATACCCATCTGTAACTCCAGTTCCAAGGAATCCAGTGCCTTCTGACCTCTGTGGGAACCAGCACACATGTGACACATGCATTCATGCAGGAGAAAAATCTCATACACATAATTAAATCTAATAAAATAAATATGCTTATGGTCGTATTGTCTTGTAGGGACAGAGACTTTTCTTTCCACAGGGGGAAGCTTTTACTAGCTTTGTTTCTGCTCCTAGATCTAATAATTATCATTGGGAGGGTTTAATATATTTTTTTTTACCAACTTCCAGATACATGCACATACATAAGACTTATTCTTGTATCAAGCTGGTTGATATTTAAGTTTTTTTCAAATATAAGACAGTATTCATGCTAATGAGACAAGTGATTGATAGCTGGTGACTTTTAAAGTGTTTTAGAATTAGAGAACCAGACTAGAGGTATAATTTCTGGTGAGAATCCCACCCCCCTGAGATTTATTACCTTTAAAGTACTTTACATATGTTACTTCCATGACTTCCTGTGATAATTATGTAAAACCTGTCTCCATCTTGGATCAGGGAAAACTGAAATTACTGTCAGAGAGTTGATTTTAGTCTTTTCCATGGTACTGGTATGCTTTCTGCCAAATTCACATATGTGTCTTTATTCTGGGAAAAAAAAACCCTCTAGTTTATATACTTGTTTTCTTGTCACATTTTATCAGAAAAAGTAATGTGAATGGCCTGCCTCAGTCAGGGACAATAGGTGCATGTGTATCTGTGTGGCACATGCATTTTTAAGTATTTATGGGGTGTAAGAATGTAATGGTAGCTCTGAATAGTAACAGTTACTGTGTGTTTTAACCCAAGATTTCATTCCCATATAAATGAGCTCTGTGAGATTATTATGCCAAAAATACCAATATTTGTCTTTCACTCAATTTATCTACACTTCATAAAAATCTTTAAATATTACTTCATTATCTTAAAATTTGCTTTGCAGTATATGAAGTCTATGGAATTCCTCTTAGATATTTATGAAGTAGCTCAGACTTTTGCAGGTGTTGTAGACTCTTAGGAATATAGAGCTTAATTTAGAACAGACTCCTCTTTTCTGCATTTTTCATTTTAAAAATCAGATTACAGCAAATCCATCTGTGCGATCCAGCTACACTGACATTGGTTTTTAAATCTCTCTGTGGTGTTTTGGTTAGGCAGAGAAGTTCTCTTAGTTTATAGTATATGATCCTAATAGTCATGCAAGGACAGCTACTGCAGATAATACTCTGGGTTGTTGTATTCATGTCATGCTTCCCCTGTAAAATTATTATCCTGTAAAATATTTAAGCAAGATCAGCACTGTAGTTTATTCAAAACAAAAAATACAACAAAAATGCAAACAACTAATAAAATACTCTTATAAAATAGATTTTAAGACTTGAGAGTTTAGCTGTGTAGTAGAATATTGCCTTATGATGAGAAAATCAGCAATCTTCTGTCCTAGGGGATTAAGAGAAATTTTAAGAACTCTTACCAGTCTGCATATATATGTGCACATTCCAGAATGCATGATCATGAATGCGTATGTGCACACATACACACACAAACAGATACACAGGCTAAGTGTGGGTATGATGCATATGTTAATTATCTAGATTCTACCATACATGGTACAACATATATTTGTGTTAAAATATCATGCTGTATACTATAAATATGTTTTTGTCACCTTTAAAAAGATGAAAAGAGACTGCACTCAAATCTTTGAGAGTGCAATAGTAACTAGCTTATTTATTGGAAGTTGTCTTTAGCAAGCTGACAAAGCCATACCTTATGCTGTACCTGGTTGAGAATTAAGAAAGTATGCATAGGTTTCCAACTGACACAAAGTCCTGCTGTATATCTCTCAAAAAATAGCTTTGCTGCCGGGCGGTGGTGGCACATGCTTTAACCCAGTACTCAGGAGGCAGAGGCTGACAGATCCCTGAATTCGAGGCCAGCCTGGTCTACAAGAACTGGTTCCAGGCCAGGCTCCAAAGCTACAGAGAAACCCTGTCTCAAAAAATCAAAACAAACAAAGTAAATAGTATTGCCAAGGTAATCTCAAAAGGAGGATTCTTTCTTGATTTTATGTCAACTGAACTGTTAAAGAAGATTAAGTCTATTCTTTTGTGTAAGAGTTGTTTATCTTAAAAAATAACTAAAAGCACTTATGTCAGATTAGCACTTGAGTACACTTGGTAGTGTGCCTGTGGTAGCATGTAAGTGGTGATATGCTGCCAGCTGGGGAATCAGGACAGATTACACATCGTATTGTAGTAGCATCTTAGTCTCAGCTGCTTAGGTTTCCCCTTCACCAATCTTGTGCCTGTATATTTTAGTTCAGCATTTGAGAGCCTATGGGATGCTGTCAGACCTTGCTTTTCAAAGGGGCTGTGGACCAGCATCAGTGTTACCTATAAGATTGTCAGACTTGGTCTTGGCTAGTTCCTGGGTTACTTCATAGGAATCTTCACTTAAACAGATTCTCTTAGTGATTTCTATGTGGATTAAAGCTGAAGAAGCCCTGCTATAGAACACAAAAGACTTGTAATTTGGATACTTTTGTTACAAAGTTAAAGAATTTAGAAATGATTAGTAAGAACATTAAATACTTTCACCTTAAAAGCTCCCTTTTTGGTTTGGCTGATGATAGCCCCCATGGAATGCTACCAGGCCTTGTTTGTCAAGTGCATTTTGCTGTATTTCTGTACTTTGATTCTTAATCTTACCCAGCAAAAAAGATAAATGATGTGAAGAAGCAAAACTATTGCTGTTAAATCTACTTACTGGCAGCGTCTGGCATCACATAAGATCAGCTCCTCAGAAAAGGAGTAAGACTTGCTCAGACACTGGTGTGCACAGACTGTATCATCACCACTGGGCTTTTATGCACACAGGGAATCCAGATAGACTTAAAACATGGTAGGTGCCGAGTGAACTAGATGCCCTACTCAGGGAGTTGATAGTCAACCCGGAATTGTTCTTGAAGATTGTGATCCTGCCCGTGAGTAGAACTATAGTGTTTTGGGATGTGCCCATGTAGTTCCACTTGCTACCCTTCCTTCAAACTACATGTTTGATTAAAAATGTTAAACTTACTTCATCCCCATGAACCTTTTCTTCCAATGTCCGAACTCTTGGTCATTGTTTCGTTATACTGTAGGGTGTTAGGACTCTGAATAAGAAGTAGAAACATGTAACTGTTTCCTGTTATTACATTCAAAGAAAAATTTTGTGACACGCTCTACCTCTACACTTCAATTTAGTTTAGAGAAGAAAGCTTTTGTTTGAGCTCTGCTTCTGATATTTGAAAGTTCCCTTCAACTCCCTGGCTGAGATGACTGCAGGCGCTCATGACCTTTTCTGATGCCTTTGTGTCTCTTCACCTCTCAGTGCACTGCCGGGACAAATGAAGCATTGCAGGTAGTCTGAGTATAAAGTCTGGGTAGCTAGCTACTCTTGTGAACCTGGGGATGTCCTTGGTTCTTTCATTCATGTCAGGGCTTTGTATACAGTTTGACAACCTTGCCCTAGGCTAAGAATACTACTACTATGACTGTTCTTGGCCTAACGATGTACACTAACCTCCCTTTTTAATATGTGGTAAGGAAATTTTCTCCTTGTCGCCTTTAATTCTGTTCTTATCTAGTAGTTTGTCCTTTGTCATGGATGACCGGAGACAGTTGCTGTTAACGAATACATTTTAGATGTCTTAAACATGGGACTAGTGAGAAGGCCCAGGACACAAAGATGCCTTCTAATAACACACAGTTTTCTGTCACCAGTTGCCAAGCTTATTAATAATAGCAAAGAAGGGACTGTGTCGTAAGGTTTCTCTTAAGCAAGGGGTTGATGGGAAAACGATCGTGTCTTGAACTCCAAGATGGCGAATGCAATTTTCTTCCCTTTCTGAATGCATTATCCACTCCTGGAAGTCTGCGCATAATATACTTTAAAACCTGAATGGTAGCATTTATTGTTCCTTTAGATCACAGGTCTTTTCACCCACATTCTCAGTCACTTATTTAATTTCTGAGATTAAGAAAAAAGTGATAAAATAATAAAGAAATGGATTATAACTGTTGCACTTCAGGATTAATTCAGATTTTTTTTCTGTTATGATTTCACCAGGCCTGCTGTGCACTGTGCCCGCTGTGCAGTTATGTCTAGGTGTCTTCCGCCAGCGGACACTCATGTCTCTTTTGTTCCACAGGAAAATGACTCAGGCACCTTGGACACAGTGGGTGCTGTGGTAGTCGATCATGAAGGGAATGTTGCTGCTGCTGTCTCCAGTGGAGGCTTGGCCTTGAAACATCCAGGGAGAGTTGGGCAGGTATGGATCTGTGGGTTAATAATTCTGCTTTTCAAAATGAAATCTTGTCTAAGAACAAACATTCAAGTACCAGGGATTTTTTTTTCTTAGAAAAAATAAAAATCCTTGTTCTTGAACATTTACTTTTTATAGATCAAAATAAAAAATTCTTTAAGTTTTATTTTTTTTTTTAAAGAGCCACCTCATGGTGACGGGGCTCTTGTTGACCTTTATGACCAGTGACCCCGACCTCCCTGCTCTCAGCACCCTGGGAGGCACTGGCCTTTGTTTGTAGTAGACATTTAATAATCGTATATTGATTTGTATCTTCCTTAGTGAATATGACTGTAGGAGCCAGCACTCCCTGACTGTATTGCCATTGCTTTTGAAATGAGAACATGGTTTTAAAGTAAAGCGTTTTTACTCCCTTCATTCAAGTCACAGTGACCTTTTGACATTCTCTGTGTCTCCTCTGACTTTAGACATTTTACAGACTAGCTAGGATTTTTGGTCACCCTGTATCACAGGCAAGTATTTGGCAAATGAAGAAATTCTAATTCTTAGCCTGAGTTCTATTGCAGGGTTTTTTCTCAGCCTTCCTTTTCCACCTCCAGTCTTTCATTCTGTTTTGAAAATGAAATCTAAGAGTTAATTTGATATACCACGGGTGCTGGGCATTATGACCTGACTTTGCACATTTCTTATGATCTTAGTAAATGTTTATGAATCAAAATGTTTATGAAGCACTCTCCTGTAACTTTTTAAAGAGGTTATGAGGATTTTATTTAAAACTCAGTATTTCGATCTTGTCTTATATGTGAAATGAAGGCCATTGTGTTATATGAGCCAAATTCCTTTCATCCAAATGCTGTCAGATGCCTTCCTGAAGGGATGGAAAACGTTGAGAAATGATGAGGTTCTACAGGTACCCAGAGAAGATCACAACACTAGAAAGTGCCTATAAATATACCTTTGCATCCGCCAGTCTGTGGAGAACTAAGTGATGAGTTTAAGACAATCAGAGGAGTGCTGCAGGGATGCGTTCTCTCAACACTGCTCTTTAGTATATTCCTGGAATTAACCCTGGTGGATGAGGAGATAGGTGGCGTGTGAATCAGTAATTTGCATTTTGGCAATGATACAGCACTACTTGATGAAAGTCCAAGTGATCTGCAGGCCATGGTAAGTGGAGTGGTGGAAGCAAGTGAAAACTTGGTGTGACAGTTAACATCGAGTGGCTGAGATTCATTTTCCACCACAAATGGGACTTCTGTGAAATTTATACTTTGATTTGCTCCACTTGGCTTGTTTAAAAATATGCTATTGTGAGAGCTAAAAAGTCATCAGAACATGTGGAGGAGAGGAGTCAGTGTGCTTAGAGGAAAACTCCATTGCTTACTTGTATGAAGTTACTGGGTCCAGGAGACATCATGAACCTGGAGAGAGGAAGTATCAAATGAGAGGTAAAGAAAACTGTGAAGCACAAAAGCGTGTCCTTTCAAAGGCTAGGTCAAAACATACAGAAACGAGATACATCTCAATATATTGTAAATGCTCAAATGAATGATTTTTGAAAACTGGCATACTCGCTGTAGCTATTTAATAGGAATACAGATTGTAAAATTTAATTTGAACTAGAGTTTACTTGTTTCAGTGTGTAACCATTAAAGTTTATAGCAGGGATATGAGAAAGGAATTAATAAACTTTACTATAAAATAGTTGCCAAGGTCTGAAGATGAAATGCTATAGTGCTGAACAAGTTCTAGAATGTTGACACAACACATTTAAATTGCACTCTCTACTTCCTTGAACTATCACTGTCATTAGTTAAACACTGGCAGTGTTCAACATATGCGTTCATTCACATGGTTCCTTGACAACAATAGGAAGTGTGTGCTTTTATTATTCTTTGCTGTTTTGTGGCCTGAGGTATTGAACTCAGGTCCTGTGCTTGCAAGGCAAGCACTCAGCTATACTCTTTGCAATAACTTTTTTCTTCTTTAGTTGTCTAGGCTGACCTTAAACTTGCTGTGTCCCTGGTTTGCCTTACACTTGTGATCCTCCTGCCTGAACTGCCAAACTGCTGGGATTATAGCTCTTCCACAACAATCGCTTGCTACATTATTATGCTCATTTTATAGAAAACAATAGTCCTGACACAGTTAAGTAATATATTATTTATATAAACTATTTTTATTATATATAACACCTTTAATATAATTTTACTTCCAACATGGGAAGCTTCTAAACACTTTTTAAAGTTTTGCATTTTACTTACAGAGATGAATAATAGAGGCTCAAATTCTTTATTGTTATTGTATTTTTGTTACTCTTTCATCCTGTTTTCAGAAGGTTAAGAAAAGTAAGACAGCTCGAGGCCGTGCAATTAAGAGTAGATATTATACAAGAAATTTTCTTAAAGAGAAGAAAAAAAAGGGTGAGCAATACTGTGTACCCTTTCTTAGGAAGGTGTCTTCCCCTGGCTTTCTGAGAGGTGTCCCCCCCCCCAGGGTTTTGTATACATATGGTCAGGATAATAGTGGGGGATAGGCATGGGAAAATGCCCAGAGTTCTCAGTGAAGGATAGTGGGTCCTGAGGTCTTTACAGTATCTTTTATTTTGCCTGACTTGACTATGCCACAGGAGGGCTAGTTGGATGGCTTATCATACACACTTGGTGACTTTATTATGAAATCAATTCTCAAAGGTTTCCTGTTGTCACATTGACCCAGAAGTGCTTGGAGGAAAACAAAAAAAAAAAAAACATTGTTCTTTTTTTTTTTTTTTTGCATAGTGTTTTCAAAAATGAGAAAAAATTTTTTGCCCTATGCGTTGTTGGTTTTAGTTTGGGAAGTTTTTTTTTTTTTTTTTTTTTTTTTTCTGGAGATGAGATACCTGTAACCCAGGCTGGCCCCAAACTCAGTATGTAGCCTAATTTGAATCTAACTGAATTGCTAATCTTGTTGCCTTTACCGATTAGTGCTGTGATAACTGTGCATCTTCACACTGAGAGGCGGGTAGTTGGAAATGGCACCTGTTGTTCACATGCATAAAGATTTCATTCTGATAGTCCCCGGATTACTTCTGAAAGAAGATGGTTAGGGGAAAGCTTTGTTTTTAATGAAAAGAGGACCGAATACCTGCTGTAACTCTTTCATGGCGCTTTAGAAAGGAACTAGGTTGTTTCCAGAGAGTAGAACCAGCAGCACTATAAGTGGAAGTTCTAATAAACATCCTTGACCACACAATGAAGAACTTTGTAGCAGTTAGAAGAGCTTGCTAGGATAGCATGTTCCTATAAGGCAGTGAGCTCTTATAACAGAAGCAGATGGTTGCTTGGTGGAGATTCCTGCTGGGTAGAATATTGGAGCAATTGAGTTCTAAGGATATTTAAAAGACTGGAATGTCGCAAAAACCAGAAATTTTATCTGGGTACTCTGTTCTCCACCTTAGCCTGTCAGCTGAGTGAGCCTCTAGAAGTCGCAGTACAGTGTGGGGGAGGGTATCTTTGTCAATAGTGGTGAGTACTCCATGTGTTATAAGTTCTAGAAATCAACAAGGTTATTAAATCTTTTTGTATTGTTTTCATTTTTTTTTTTTTGTTTGAGACAGGGCTATTTATCCCTTTCTGGAACTTTGTGTGTGAGACTGGGTTGGACCTGAGCTCTCCCTGCCTCTGCCTTTTGAGTTCTGGGCTTAAAGGCATTAGCTTCCACACCTAGTTGTATTACGTTTTTTAAAAATTTAATCCTTTTATTGTTAGCCTTTGGTATGATTTCTTTGGATCACTCTACCAAAGCTTATATTGGTTACTAACTGACAATCACCTGTACCAGTTTTTCATTATTAATAGTGGTATAAAGCATTTACCTTATTTGCCCTAATATTAATAAACACCCAGGAGTCAGAAATTGAGATGAACACTTGATAAATTCAAAGAACAGTGAAGGAAAGATTGACTGACCCTAGTCTCAATCAATGTTTCCCAGATCCAAAAGCTCGAGAATCTTTTCCGAGTCCCTTCTTCTCTTCTCCATGTCTCTCTATCTTCCTCTGAGTTGGCCAGAAAACACTATGGTCCATTCTAGCCAGCTGAACTCCGCCTTCTGAACCAAGGTCCACCTCCATTGGTGGAGAACACCAACTAGTCCCCCACAGCGGTGCTATTATAATGAACTTACTCAGTAGCATGCCTCATACTTCCCTACAATAATAAGAGTTTTTAAATTCTGCTTCTGTAAAGGACAAGAAAAGTTATTAGTTATGATTCTCCTCTCAAAGGCAGAAATGTCATTATAGATGCTAGGAACTTTGGTAATTTGAATTTAATTGCCCCATAACGACACAAAGGGAGTGGATTTATTAGGAGATGTGGCCTAGTTGAAGTAGGTAAGGTCTTGGAGAAAGTGTCACTGTAGGGGCAGACTTTGAGGACTTTTTTGCCCAAACTTCCCTCAGTATAAAACGGAGTCTACTTCCTGTTGACTCTGATCAAGGTGTAGCCAGCACCGTGTCTGCCTGCATGCCACCATGTCACAGCATGAAATGATACTGAATTGGACCTCTGAAACTAAGCGAGCCACCACAATGAAATGTTTTCCTTTGTAAGAGTTGCCATGGTCCTAATGTCTCTTCTCAGCGATAGAAACCTTAACTAAGACAGATAAATGTAGACATTCAGGATAGGATTATTGGAAAGAAGATAGGAATGATTGTCATAATCTTTTGTAAGATCACAGTGGTTTATCACGTTGTTGTTGGTTTTGGAAATAGAAATCTGCTTCACTCCCTAGTGAAGTGGCGAACTTAACATGTCTTTCATCTAGCGGTGTCCTGCTTTCATCTAGAGGTGTGCTGGTCCCTTTGGTGCAAAGGTCTTTGCAGTTGCTGCTGAGCCCCAGGGAGGCAGTGAGATTGCCTGCAACAGAAGCATCCAGAGGCTGGGAACAGCTCTAAGGCCTGGGCAGTGGTGCCCACCCCCAGGGCTTAATCAGATGCTGCGTCAGGTGCTCCAGAAACCTGAGTTTTTGCCCATAAATTCCTCAGAAATTCAGCATTTCTCTAGTTTAAGAACACTTATTTTTAAAACTTTTTCCTATTTTATTGAAAATAGATTTTTTTCTCACATAATATATCCTGATTGTGGTTCTCCCCCTACTCCTTCCAGTGTCTCCTCACCTTCCTTCCCCTTTCTCTCTCTCATTAGAAAACAAATAGGCTTCTAAGGGAAAATAAAATAAAACAAAAACGTATGCACTGAAATTGAACAAAACAGAAGCAAGAGAGACCACGAGAAGGTAAAAGAAACACGTGTTCACACATCTAGGAATCATATAAAACACTAAACTAAAAGCTATTTTATAGATGCAGGGGACCTGGTGCAGACCTGTGCAGGCCCTGTGTCTGCTGTTTTAGTCTCTGCGAGTTTGTGTGAGCCTTGATGATGCTGTTTTAGAGGGCCTTGTTCTCCTGGTGTCCTCCATCCCCTCTGAGTCCTACACTGTTTTCTGCCTCCTCTTCTGCAAGGTTCCCTGAGCTTCAAGGGGAAGGGGTGTGATGTGGCTACCCGATTTAGAACCGAGTTGACAATCCTTATTTTAAGGTGCCATGTTGGTTTCAAGAGCCAACAGAGCGACTGGCCGGCAAACTGTGGAAGGAAAGGGTTTTAGGAGTAGGAAGCATTACTGAGGGCACTAATACAACTTTCTCGTGCTGTTCTCCAAGAACTTCTACATTGTTAGAGCAGTAGAGCACATTTGCTAGTATTCTGCATTTGTATGTGTGTTACATGTGTACATGCAAGTCTACATTTGCGGATATATGTATAAGCATGCACGTGTGGGTCTAGACGGAAATTGATGTTGAATGCTTTCCTTAACTGTTCTCCACTTTATTTACTGAGGCATAGTCTCTCCTTGAACTTGGAGCTTCCTGATTCTGGCTGGTCAAGTTGGCCAGCTTGCCCCAGGGATCCCATTTTTCTGCCTCTCTAATTCTGGTATTACAGGTGACTGTCATGCCTGCCTGACTTTCTGTGTAGGTTTGGTGATCCATATTCTGGTCCTTTTGGTTACATGACAGCTTTACACATCGAGCCATGTCTCAGGCCCTACTGATTTTTTTAATGACATATAATATCTACACATATTTTTGAGACAAAATACTGATTTATGTACATGCTGATTTATTAATGTTATTAGCTACTGGGGGAAGCATAATGAAGGGGAGAGGGAAAAATTAATAAAAGATAGAGTTAGGTAGGAAGAATAAGTTCTGGTGTCCTTGTCATAGCAGACTGAGAGTATAGGTAACAGTAATACATTGCATATCTAGAAATAGATACAGCCTTGAGAGTTTGAAAACCATTGTTTGTATAGCTCTTATGCAAAATCTTATAAATTTATGCTGTTATGAACTATTTTTTAGTGTTTTATCTTTGTGTGCATGTTTGTGCTCAAGAAAACAACTCCTGGTTGGGATCTTCAGTCCTCCCCTTGTTTTCAGTCTACCCTGTTTTGTTGAGGTATCCCCACCTCTTCATTTTTAATTAGCATACAGAGTAATAGATTTCATTATGATACTTTATTCTTGATTTGCTTTGTTTATTTTGTTTATTTTTAATGAGTTTTATTTGATAGATATGACTTTCATGTTGAAAACTGAAAATTATGTATAATATTCAGTAAGTATTATATGAGTCTATTTTCTGTTTTCCTAGGCTGCTCTTTATGGATGTGGCTGCTGGGCTGAAAATACTGGAGCTCATAACCCCTACTCCACAGCTGTGAGTACCTCAGGTATTTGCTGCTTTTATGGCCATTTTTCATAGCTACAATCCTGTCAGTCATTTAATAACTAAAATCAATATTTAAGGAAAACATTTATAAGAGTGTTGATGCATGAAATACATCATTAATATTTGGGTGGTTTTAAAGATTGTTTAGTTTCCTATTATAAGAGCTTTGCAAACTTTAACTGTAAAACTCTTATATTAACTATAATTTTAATTCTATTTTATTATCTAGTGACCCATGATAGTTACAGTCACAACATCTCGAGTGATATCAAAACAGTGAGGAATTTAAAAAATTATCATGTAGTCTCTTGAGTAAAATATTGACGTGAAACTCACATAATGTACTTCAAAATGTATAGCCTACATTTCCTCAAACTATCCTTTTAATAAAATACAGAACCTTTTTCGTGTGTATAATAAGAAAGTGTATGATTTAGTAATGATTGAAATTGAATGAACATGTGCAATGTGGTATGTGTGAGAGCAAGAGCTTGAGCATGCACATGTATGTGTGTCAATGTGTCCTTGTGCCGTAGGGATGGGAAATAAGGGGGGGGGGAATTTAATGGGTGAAGTAATACTCTGTTTCTAGAGTTTTATAATATCGATACCACATATACTTGAAGCCTTTTCTCTTTATGTGGTGATGCTACTGGTGGACAAGGTCAGTGCTGGTTCACTCCTTCCCTCAAGCTACAGTTCTGTTCTGTTTCCAAACAGTCCCAGGATTTACACATCTGTGCAGCACAGATGTTTTTCTTTCCTTTCTTCACTTCTTCAGTTGTTTTTTGTTGTCTAGTACAGTAGCTTTCCTATGCTTCTGTTTCCTCATCCTGTGTCTACTGTAATGCACAGTGCATTAGTTAATTGTCACATGCTGTTTGAACTCACTGACATGCTGTTTCTGTCGGTTGGGCTGAGCTTTTCCCCACTTCAGATGCAAGTGTGTTTACCTTAGAGTGTCCTCCAAGATCCCTTGACCTGGAATAGGCTGGTCTCCTAGACCCGTGAGAATGGTAAAACAGCCTGAAAGTAAGATACTGAGAAGACAAACAGTAAATTGTTAGAGTAAAAATAAAAGCCCGTGTCCTTGAACAAGTACATTCTCAAAATAAGAGATCAACTCCAGCTTAGCCTATGTTGTTGAAGACCCAGGAGGTGCTCTGCCTGAGATCTTCACCCACACATGCTCCAGCTGACACCTGCCATGTAGACCGATTTGTCTTTGGTCTCCAGCTCACAAAAAAACGACATGGAGACTTATTATTAATTGTGAAAACTTGGCCTTAGCTTAGGCTTGTTCCTAAATAGTTCTTATAACTTAAATTAACCTGTATCTTTTAACTATTTTTTTTTTTTAATGTGGCTTGGTTGCCTTGGCTCTGAACTCCACATCCTGCTTCCTCTTCACCTGGCTGGCGACTCTGCCTTCCTTCCTCTTCTAGTCCTCTCTGTCCTGAGAAGTCCTGCCCAGCCTCTTCCTGCCTAGCTGTTGACCATTCATCTCATTATTAAAACGGTCACAGTGACAGACACATCTTCACACAGCGTAAAAGAATATTCCGCAACACTGCCCACTGACTGTTACGGCTTCCCCCACTTTCCCCAGTCGGTTTCTGCTGGATGCCCAGCTGCCTGGTCAGGTGCTCCACCGTCTTTCTGCTGCTTGTCATCATCTTCCGGTTTGTTTGTTTTGTTTTTGTGTTTTGTTTTTGTCTTTCATGTTTGCAGCACAGTTAACAATCTCAGTTCTTCAAAACAGAAAACATGAACATTTTCTGTGCAAAGCGTCTGTAATACAGACACTGCCCATTGTAGCGTAGAGCCTGGTGCTCCCTTGTTGTCTATAATACAGACACTGCCCATTGTAGCGTAGAGCCTGGTGCTCCCTCGTTGTCTATAATACAGACACTGCCCATTGTAGCGTAGAGCCTGGTGCTCCCTCGTTGTCTATAATACAGACACTGCCCATTGTAGCATAGAGCCTGGTGCTCCCTC